GTTTCGACTTCCAAATGCAAATCTTCATAGAATCGATCAAATACAACGATTTTTCGTCTCAAATCATGACGGAATCGAGTTGTGGGTGGTCGATTTGGTATGGAAACATATGGAATCGTCTTATAATCGGCGGATTCAGGTGGATTCACATCTGGGCTTCGGAGAATTTGGTTGAGAATCGGCCAAATCCGCCTCGATCTTTATGCATGGTAAGATCCTGAACAATTTTATACTTGTTGTTCTGATTGATTACAGAAATTGTTGAAACATAATCGATTTGTGGTTTTGTTTACGAAAATTGATGTAACAAAATCGATTTAGGGTTTTGATCGAATTTGTGAATTGATGTACTCCAATTTAGGGTTTTTCCTTACCTTTGATTATGATTTAACCATCTCCATGATTATGATTTAACCATCTCTTGATTTTTTCCACGATCTGATTTTGATGGAATGGTTAGCTAAGCCATGTGGTTTAAGAAGGCATTGGTTTGGTCGATTGATAAGTGTTGTTTTCTGGGTATTACGAGTAGGTGCTTCACATGGACATGAATGACTACTGTGGTGGAGAGTCAACATCGCTTAATCTCAATCAGGTTCTGTTTTCTGGATTTTTTTTAAAGGCTTTGTGGTAGTTTATTATCAGTTACTTTTATTTATGTTTTTGGGTTTTTTTTTGTTTGTAGCTTTGGAAGAAGTTCAAGGGAGAAGAGAAGTCTCCTGAACATTTAGGCACTAGTCGGGATTACAATGTTGACATGATGCCTAAGGTATTTTGATGGCCATTCGTTTTATTTTATGCTAATTATATCAATGCCACTTACTAACTCTTGTCTTTCAATGTGATGGACTAGTTTATGATGGGAAATGGCAAGCTTGTTCGTGTTCTTATTCATACAGATGTTACAAAGTATTTGTCCTTTAAAGCAGTTGATGGAAGCTATGTTTTCGTCAAAGGAAAGGAATGGATTCTCGTTGAAGGTGTTGCTAAGTCTCTCTCCCTTTCTCACTGATACAGATAAGTTTCTTTTTCCTTTTATTTTTGTATGGTCATATACTGATTGTGTATTGATTGTGAATTGGTTAAAGGAAAAATTGATAAACTTTGTTCATACTTGCTTTTTCTGATTGATTGAGAATTGGTTAACTGAAAAAATGATAAACTTTGTTCATACTTGCTTTGTTTTGGTCGAGATTTGGTGGTGATAATCAGACTTGTGTTTCTGATAATCAGAAAATGTTCATCCGTTTGATTTATGTCTGCATCGAATCTGCTCTATCTTGCATCTGTCATTTAGTAGAAAGAAGAAAATATTGCATCCGTTATACTCCTTCGTTGATTTGCTTGATTGACATTGGTCATGGTTGTCTAGAAACCGGTTTGGTTCTGATTAGTTAACAACTGGTTAGATTCTGGTTTGATTATTGCGTAGCCATTATGCTGGTTCAATTATGGAAATATTATTTTTGCTTCTAGCACATGATTTCTCAGATTATATTATAGGCTTAAGTGCTTTTGTTGGTATTTTTGCTTCGATGTTAATAAATGGTTATTGAACTGTTTGTGAAAAAAATATGTTTGGTTGCTAATAAATGGTTATTGACATTAAGTTGTGATGGATGGTTACTGCTCAGTCATGAATGCTTTTTTTGTGTGATGAATGCTTATTAGTTGTAGATTAGGTAAAGAAATTTACTCTTATTGAATGACTTAACCATAAGAGTACTTGTTGTGTTGTACTTAAATCCGAAAGCACTTAAAGCACTTGTTGTACTTAAACCAGAACTTGTACTTAAATCTGAAAACACTTAAATCATTCTTTCTTCTCTTCTGATTTCTCTTCCTTAAAATCACTCATTCTTTAAAATCATTCCTTCTTCTCCTCTAACTCCTTTCATAACAAGATAACTCTCATATTCCCTACCAGAGTTTCTCCACTAGTATAACACTAGGATCATCAGAATTCCCTATTTTTAGTACTCAGTGTACTGATTCTCCTATCCTGGAG